AGGCCAGGACAGAGGACTCCTATAGGGCAGGATAGAGGACTCCTATAGGGCAGGACAGAGGACTCCTATAGGGCAGGATAGAGGACTCCTATAGGGCAGGACAGAGGACTCCTATAGGGCAGGATAGAGGACTCCTGCAGGTCATGCTCCACTGGCTCCTCAGCTGCAGCACAAACTTCTTTGACTCTCAAGCTAAATGTCCGACTGTTAGCTACCTGAGCTGATCGCCAAAAATAATTCTGCTCAAGGGAATCTGGGAAATAGTTCTAACTCGAGCTAAGGTCAAAAAATTATCAGACAAATCTGCTGAAAGCACTACCTAAGATAAATTACCTCCACTAGGACCTCTGTAGGAAAAAAAATATATTGAGAAAACACTGACTGTCTCTCTCTTTAGCACACTCTATCTGCTGGTAGATTGATGGATATATGCAGGAGAGCTGTTGCCTACCGTAAAATGTTATGAATTGTGTAAAATTAAGTCAGGTTCATATAGACCAGGGGTGCCCAACTCCAGGCCTGGAGGGCCAGAGCCCTGCACATTTTTGGGTTTCCCTTCATTTAACACATCTGATTCAACTCCTTGTGCTAATTACCACACAGCTCTTGAGCTGAATCATTTATGGTGGAACAGGGAAAGAACTAAACTACACAGAGCTCCGGTTCTCCAGGACTGGAGTTGGGCACCCCTGATATAGACCATGTAGATCATGCAGATACCCTTTTTCACCACTAGGGGGCTCTTGTGCTTTACTGCTTCAGTAACTGCAGAACATTTCCAGATGACATTCTGACTATGGAACTGCTGTTTCACGTTACCTTAAATTGACAATATCACCAACTTACATATTCATTTTCTCTGAAGAAAATCCTCCTAATAGTTATGAAAATATATAAAATAGATAAAACAGTACTTCCAGGATATAAAATGTCAAGTGATCATAGACACCACAGATAACTTAGCAAAATGTAATTCATTCATTCATTAACCTTTATTTTACCAGGCAAAGCATTAAGAACATTTTCTTATTTACAATGACAGCCTGGCAAGTCCCAGAAAGCACTTGTAGCACAAAATGAAAATGGAAATAACAAACAAACAAATAAATAAAAATAAATAAAATTAAACCCATAACGGAACGATTAAACAGAATTAGAACATTTACAAGTGTCATTAAAATGTCCATAAGTAAGCATTTGAAGGTCATGACTGACATAAATGTATCTAGCTTTAAAGATTTCTGTGATGAATTCCAGTCATTGGCAGCAGCAGATTGGAATGATAACAGTGATGCTTTGAGGAGAACTGAGACCAGTGCAGAGAGGAAGGATGCAGGTACTATCTGGCAGTACCATGGATAATCTGACCGGCAGCAAGTGGCCATAGAGCCGACATCATCAGCATGAGGCGTACCAGTTTTCTGGGTATCCTTCTTCACGTGAACTTCTGCAGTGACGCACCCAGTGACTTCCTGGTTTGCTCTCTGGGTAGCCTTCTTTACGTGAACTTCTGCAGTGATGCAACCAGTGACTTCCTGGTCTACTCTCTGGGTAGCCTTCTTTACATGAACTTCTGCTCTCTGGGATTTCTGGCACTAATCTACTCAGTCAAGGTGGGTCAAGGACTCCTGTCCATCATCAAAGCCTCCCCACTGGGGACTGGCATTTCTTGTACGGCATGAGCTGTAATTTAAGTCAGTGGTCATGCATTAGATTTTGATCACTCCAGTATTTAATTTGCAAACATATCAGATTTATGCTTTACAAGTCTTTGGAAAGTGTTGTAATGGCAAACTGTACAAAGTAAGTCATTTAACCACTAGTAACCATCACAAATAAAAGTAAAGTTTTATATGAGTAGACTATGATTCATCAGCTAAAGGGTCTAACGTTCACTGGAGCAGAGATTTCTACAAAACTGCGTGCTCTGTTTTTGTAATGGTACCATTTTATCCATCTGTCCAGTCATTAGTTTTCTAACTGCTAATCCTGGTCAGGATTGCAGGGTGTCACTGTTTTAGCCACATAAAAACTTGGGCCAGTCTACTAATTAGAAACAAAACAACTGTTTGGAAATACAGGAACTGACCAGTTGTGTAAACAGTCTTGGTGACTGAGACCATTTCACTGATGATTAGAGAGTCATAACGTTGCCTGTATCCAAAAACATTGTGCCAGGATAACATTCAAAGTAATATTTTGTGGGATGTTTGGTTTTACTTATGGCCTAGCTGAACATTGAAGATGGCTAATCCATATGCTGCAGCTGGTTCTGTAAGTTAGAATCCGTGTTAGGCAGCTTCCTCTCTGCTCCGGCGCAGGACCTAAGGCAGCCCAGGAGTGCTCAGAAAGGGCCAAATGGTTCCATGTCCTGGCATGAGGCTGGAATTCGCTGGTCCTCCTTCTGCTGCTTGCCCTGCTGGTGCTGGTGCTGGTCCACTGGACCGGGACGAAGGGGTCCTTCGGTCCCTTTGGAGAGGATGGCTTTCAGAGCCACATGAAGCCCTGCAGAAGGGAGAAGCCGAGCCAACTGTTGCCTAATTGCAGCATGCTCAAAATCGGGAAAGTCATTTCCTATACTTTTTTCTTCTGTTATTTTAATAAATTCCAATGAGAGCATCGATTTACTTACTTACACCTGAGCGGCTCCCTTCAAGTGCTTTGGGTTACCTAAAAGTTAATATGTCTGCTGCTGAACCATCCATCCATCACTGCTTAATCCCAATTGGGATTGCGGGGGGGGGACCAGAGCCCATCCCGGGAACAACAGGCACAGGCAGGAACAAGCCCCGGGCAGTTGCCAACACACTGCAGGGCACAAACACTCACAGGGCCAACTTAGATCCACCAATTAACCTACCGTGCAGACTTTTGGACTGTGGGAGGAAACCCACTCGAACACAAGGAGAGCGTGTGGACTCCACACAGAAAGGTCCTGCACCCAACCCAGGAACCAAACCCAGGCCCTTCTTGCTGTGTGGCAGCAGTGCTAACTACTGCGCTAACCACTGCACCACCTGCTGCTGAACCTTGATTGATTATAACTGCCCACAATCTCATCACCACCTTGGGATGCCAAGCCAAGCACCACTGTTTGCTCAGACATTACTGCAGGTATACACACTTCTACCGTACCCTTTAATAGCACAAACAAACATTTAAGCACATTTGTACAATACACCGCTGGGATGTACTATTATTTACTGGTATGTTTATATTGTATTTTACACTACGGCCAGACTCCAACAACTAATGTATATTATAAAGGCCAATCTGTATTTTTAGGTACAAAAACATTTTTGTGGGATGTGTTGTTAAAACACAGGATCACACAGACATTATATACGTAGAAATATGCACATATACAGTTCATGCATGTAACGTGTAAACCTGCCAGTATTACAGTTCTGCAGTGGAGGATGCAGGCTTGTGGAAATGTGCAGTCAGCCTCAGTAGCACTGTGTCATGTGCCTCCTGCTGACAGCTCTCAGGTAGCAGAGCAATATCACCCTGATAAAAGAACCTGTCACCATTACAGAGCTGTGTGGCTTCAATTAAGATGGATGTCCGTGACTGAGGGCTTCTTAATTACAAAGACGGACACTCAAGGTCATTTTAGTCGATCTCTGCCTGGCTCCTTACCATTGCTGAATGAAAGAGCTGTATGCAAGAAACATATAATTTTTTATCAACTGTAACAATAACACATTAGCACTTTTATACTACCATAAACGGTAAATGTGAACTTATTAGTAGAAACCACGAGTAAACTGCAGAATCTTGAATAGCTATTTTTCCAGGACACCTGCATTACTTTTGTGATCCTTGGTTATCGTTACCAGTATAGTGCCAGTACTTAACTGGGTAATTATGGCAGTAAATGTATAGGAGAGTAATTTCAAACTGTCCTAAATGCCATCTTATGCTAATTAGTTTACCTAGCTGCAAGAAGGTGTTACATTAGTTAATCAGGTAAGAAACACACTTTTTCGCGTTTTCCACCATACTGTGTTAATTCATCCCAGTGCCGGTCGACCCATTAAACGACACAGGCGGCTCCCTCCCTAGTGCACCATCGTCTGAGGGGCGCTGACTCAGCAAAACACCTGCCACTCCGTCCCACTCCCAGCTCTGGACAGGTACGGAAACAGTGTGCGTTGTTACTTTCATAAATTTGCAGATGGCAAAGTAATTTAAAAAGTACACTTTAATTTATTCTTAAATAATATTGTACTGACACGGAGCCAGAAAACGGCAAGGGCACTGATGCAGGCGGCCCTGCCTACTGGCAGCACGCGCAGGGCTCACGTCACTCAGGATGCGTTTCCCAGCGCTGGCTCTGGGGTTACAGTCACACTGGCAGATATGGCATCTCTAACCCTGCCGTTCGAGTCGCTTATGCCTGATTTTAACTTAAGGCTGCGGGCATAACATGCAATTAATATACCTTGCGGGGTGAACTTTAAAAAAAAAAAAAACGTTCAGGATATTCATATGGAAAGGTGTTGCGAAGGCAACTTGGCTTCAGATCTAGACTTTTGGTAATCACGACTTGAAACTGCTGAAAATGATTAACACCTAAAGCGTTTTTTGCTTTTTATGTTTTTGAACAGGCGCTGAGTATAATTCTTGGTTATCGGAAAAGACACTTTCTTGTATGCGGGATGTCCTCTCCGGTGTCGGAGGAGGCAGGCTTTTGGGACACCAGCGACTCTCCGGGCGGGACACGGCAGGCGCTGGAGACGTTAGATGCCGAATATTTTAACCCAGAAACACCGGTCACCTACAACAACAGCGCGTCCGCTCCCGCTTATGTCCCGGACACCGGGCGTGTGGCTGAAGCCCCGGTAAGGACCCGTGTCAGCTGCCCGGTACTCCAGCCGCCAGAGGCCGTCTTCCACTCGCCCATGTCCGGCACTCGGACCCTCCTCCAGGGACGGGTGTACAACTTTCTGGAGAGACCCACTGGATGGAAGTGCTTCGTCTATCACTTCGCAGTGTGAGTACCTCGTGTGACATTTATACGACCACCACTTGTGGACTTCGTAGTTCATTGTCAAATGATATTTCATATACTTTAAAAGTAGGTCTACATATAATACAGGAAATATAAAAATACATACACATATATAAATAGGTATATAAAAGGGACATTATGGACGTATGTTGTAAGAGATTTGTATATGCTGCTTTAATTCCTTTATGGGTCCATGATATAGTGTATCCTGATTTTCATTTATCTTTAAAAACATGGAGGCTAGCATTCATTACACTTCTGTTGTAACAGTCACGGAAAGATGTTACAAGCTCTAAGCATTTTGTGTGCAGATATATAGCTTTGATGGATTGGGGAAGTGAGGGTATCTGGGTTTTACAGGTGGGAGGGCATCCTTTGGTACAGTAGTGCTAGTACAAAGTTTTGGAGGGAAAGGTTCGTTGTTCACCAGACGTGCCGCTGAAGCATGCCCGCAGCTGCTCTATCCTCTTCGGGAGCCGAGCTGATAAAGCGCGGCTATACTTGGCGGTTGGCTGCCGATCATCGTGCACGGCCTGGCCTCGCTATGTGACCCGAGGGTGTCCTGAACGCGAGGTGCCACAAACTGTGGCCACGGTCAATGTTGGGCAACAATAGGGGTACGGAGAAGCAGCGGTGGTGGCACTCTTTCTTTTTTTCTTTTCTTTTTTTTAAAAGATACCTCTTACACAGTGTGACTTTTTAGGTTTTTAAATGATTACAATCCAATTACAAGTACACATAAAAAGTGTCTTGCCTTTGTAGAGTCATGAGCTATGCTTTAAACCAGGAGGTTGGTTGTTTCGATTGCAGTGGCTACTCTGGATTAAGGTGCTTATTCCTAATTCTTGGATCACTAAAGGGGCAATGAGGTCCTGGATTCCAGAAAGCCAGATGTGATGTCTACACCTTAGCAAAAGCAAAGAAACTGAAGTTGTAGGCTCACTGTAAAACGCAAACGAGAGAAAGATTCTCTCCTTAGGAGGGATGCTATTTGGCCCCCCTCCGAACTGGGCCCTGTAAAGGGCAGAGCTAAGGGTAGCTGGGTATTTATACAGCCTTATCAGAGCTCCAGTGACAGCATCTGCAGTAGGAGCCCAACCCTGTCATTTAGCATGCTGATACTGTTCTAGAAGTTTCCAGTATTGCTGGTTGGCCATAATATGTGGTATTTATCAGCTTTGGCTGTTGAAATAACACTTTGAATCCCTTTGTCTACATTATGGACCATTCTGTGATCTGCCAGTGATCGAAAGCACTTGCTAATCCCACCCACCAAAAGTTACAAAAACTATTTTTTTCACTAGTTACTTATTACGCTGGATTCATTAGTAAATCTGTAGAATTCAGTGAACACCTTTGTTAATGATGGTTACTTTTGTTATAAAGAAAAGAGTTGTCAAGTATAAGCAATACTGATTAATACAGGATGGGTTTTGCTCTATTTTTTAATTTGCATAAGCATTTCTTTTTGACAGTCTAGCAAACAGTCCTCACAGAGCTGCAGTTCATTATTCTATGATGCCAGTGAAAGGCTTCTCATTTTTAATTTATGTTGTGACACATGCATGACAAAGGTGGCAGGTGAGTTATGCATCCAGTGGTGAGCGTTTGCGTGATGCGACCATTTAGCATCACGCTAATTTTTGGTGGGCTTCTTCAGCACAATGCATGGCTCTTTGTGCTCCCCCATGCATAATGCAGGGTGTGCTGTTAGTCGGCAGGCACTGCCCGCCACTGGGAAGCAGTGTAAGAAAAGTGTGCCAGGAATGAGCAGGAGCCCAAGCCCCGCCCCTTCGGCTGTAGACAAACGGCACCGATGACCACCAGGAACTCCATACGCACCACTCAGCTTCTGAGAAGAATACGGGCCAGCTGCATGCGTCCTGGTGCGTGACATGCGCAGCCGTGGAGGCGTTGGGAGGTTGAGGGCTGATTCGTTCATGGCCGGCGTGATGCCGCTGGTGTTGTGCCTTGTGTGCCATTACAGCACCTCAGCAGCCAGTTGTTTGCCAGGGGCAGTCTGGGATGCGGTTTTTCCTTACTTTTTAAACATGGTCCTTCTGATGACAGCCAAGCAGAATGCGACAGGTGTGATGTCTGTCCTGCCAGCTGCCGGCTTTTACTGCATGCTTTGTTTTTATTCTACTGTTTTCTGTGCTTGTTTTTATCATGAAGTGATCAATGTTTGTTTTTTTTCATAATGCTTGTAAAGGTAAATTCTGTTAAAATGGTGACTGTCATGATCATGTCCATTGTTTTGGCCTGCAGGTGGCGGTGACCAGCCCCTCCTTTCCTGTGTTTAATAATACTTCTCTGTCTTTTTGTCTGTGCTTCCCCCCGGCTTCCTGGGTCACCGCATGGTTGATGGACTGAGTGTGTGGCTGAGAACCACACATCCCTACCATCATGTTGCATATTTTGTGTCCAAGTCAAGTCAAAAAGACTTTATTATCAATTCTGCCATATGTAAAGGACACACAGAGGACTAAAATTTTGATTGCACGGTAATTGCACTGAAAACGACAAGCAACACAGACACACTATCAAAAAATTAAATTAAGTAAAATGCTACAGTATGTGCAAAGGACAATAAGGCAGTGCAGTTATGGTGGATCCACAGTGTAAAGATATTGTAATAGCTTCCTCCCACAAGCTGTAAGACTCCTGAACTCCTCAGCAGTCCCTCACTAAGTCAGCAGCAACTCCTTACTCCACCAGGCACTTTACTCTCTTTTACTGGCATGTTTGCACTTTATTTTACCTGCTGCTAAATTATTGTTCATAGTGTATATTATGTACAGAGAGTTTATATTCAGTATTTGCCCTATTTATGCATATACTATGCATTTGCCCTCCTGTCGTGTCATGTGCACTATGCGTGGTCCGTGTCCCACCCCCATGCACTCGTGCTTAATCTGCACCTTACCCCCTGTAATTGTGTACATACAGCCCCCTGTGTTGCACCATGGTCCCAGGGAAACAATGTCTCATACCACTGTATGCTTGTATATGGTTGGCACAAAAATAAAGTCCACTTGACTTGGTTTGACAAAGGTAGACAGCAGCAGTTTATTTTTATAGTCTTTGTAGTAAAGTAAATAAAGTGGCTAGTGCTGGATATGGGTGGGTTGAGGTTACAGTCCAGACTTTTTGGGGGTGGGGGGAGAAGGGGTGGAGAGAGGGGAAAAGGTTCAGCATCTTGACAGCTTTGTGGATGAAACTATTCCTCAGTGTCGTGGAGCAGGTACGGAGGCTCTAGTACCTTCTCACAGATGGCAGGAGACTAAAGGGGCTGTAAGAAAGGTGGATGGGGTCTCCCACAATGCTGACTGCTTTATGGGTTAGGTGGGTGTAAGAGGGGTGGATGGGGTCTCCCACAGTGCTGACTGCCTTGCGAGTTAGGCAGGTGTAGGAGGGATGGGTGTTGTAGATGTTCAGGAGGGATGGGAGTGAGGCTCAAATGATCTTCTGCCCCAGACCCTGGGCTTGGTGTACTCCCATGTTAATTATGTTTTCTTCAATTAATGCAGTTAAATTTAATTCCATTTAATTTTTATATAGCGCCTTTCACAACAAAGTCACCCCAAGGTGCTTTACATGGTGGTGCTGTGATACATTCCTGAATCATATATACGGATTAATTCAAAAACGGGGATAGCTTGTGCTTGTACTGTATTTCGGTATGGATCTTCTTTTTTGCCTTTCTTTTTTGTCTTAGTTGTCTCTGTTAATATTTAGTTCTGTAGTGATGCCTCTTGGTGTTAATTATCAATGGCCTGCACCTGTTCCTTCTCTAACCCTCACTTCATATATATAAAAGTGCCTGTCTTTGCACATTTTCTCTGTTGTTGTTGGTGTTAGGTTGTGTTTGCATATGTTCCTTGTAGTGCTCGTTGCTGTTACTGTGTTGCCTTGGTTTGTTGGGCTTTGTGTTCCTTTGTCTTTCAGTTTCAATTTTACTTGGTTCCCCTGTCCACCTGCCTTTGTTTTGTACCTGATTAGTCCCTTATGTTTCATCTCTGTGAGTTTAGTTTGTAGCAATGCCACAGACCATAACTGCTCGTGGACCACCACCCTTCATGCCCCGAGGTAACGGTAAAGAATAGTATTGTAGCTACATGTTTCTAAAATTCCAAAATTGAACAGCACATGTGGTTCACATGCAGTGTACATGCACATGGTGTCGGAAGGAGTTTGACATAAGATGAACTTTATTAATCCCACAAAGGTAAATTTGAGTGTTACAGCAGCAGTTATAGACAGGATCAGACAATTCATGAGCAGAGTATGGAAGGACATAAATATATAAATAAAGAGAATGTGCTGTATGAAATCAACCGAATGGCAAGGCATAGTCTAAGACTGTGGACTGTGCTGTATAAGGTGACGAGTGCCACAATGTGTAAACATAGGCTATGGGGTTAGGTGGCTCAATGAGAAGACATGGTACATATCAGTAATAATAATGACACAATAACTACTAGGTGGTCCCTGCACCCCCCCCATTTCTGACACCTTTCTGAAAAAGCTCTGCATTTCAGGTGAAACATGCTGGCTTTTCTTACCAGCATACCAATTAGCCTGAAGTCAGCACTAACTGCTGGTCAACATAAACTGCAGTAATTACAATGGTACCTCAGTACTCAAACTCATTAGAACTCGAATTTCTTAAAAGTCGAACCGACCACTTCGAGAAAAAAATGACCTACTGTAGAACTCAATCTGAATATCATAAGTCGAACCGTGAACAACGACCAAAGAGACCTTGTATGCGCGGGGAAATGAGTCACGTGGCACGTGTCTCAGCGGAAACAAAGGGTAACGCTTCAGTCTCAGCCTGGTATTCGCTGTGATAGCATCGTACAGTACATGTTTACATTAGCTGAATACATATATTTAGACAGTAAAAATACATTTAGACAATGATAGACAATAACAATAATTATTGTTATATAATAAAATACATTAAAAAATAAAGATTTCTTATAAATTATTTTAATATCATTAATAATAAACCATTAATACATTTCATTATAGTAATATTGTCATGCCGAGCGGGGACAGAACGGAGACAAAGACGCAGACGTCAGGGTATCTGGGAATACGGGGTTTAATTACAGGTAAGGCAGGCAAAACGCAGACGGACAATACAATGACCGCACTGGGGAAACAAACTGAAACGCGGACTAAATGCATAGGACTAATGACAACAACCAGAAACAGCTGATCACCCTGGGATTCCACACGGGGTTAACGAGAGGGCGTGGCACACGGAAGGAGTGGACGATCGGGCAGGACATTGTTTTTTTTTAACTTTACACATTGTTTGGATAGATTTATTTTCTTACTTTACAAATTACTGTTTTGATAAATGTGCTTAGATGTGTTTAGTACAGTATATGCTCAACTTGTTTTATCCTGTTCACTTTGTGTTTAAATGCTAAAAAAAAAAAAAAAAACATATTTAGAACCAATTAATTGATTTTACATTATTTCTTATGTGGAAAATTTGATTAGAACTAGAACTTTTTAGGATTCTAACCCAAGTTCTGAATGGATTAAGTTCGAGTACCACTGTACTTAATTGTGTATTTATATCCACCCTGTATAGTTGTTGAGTGTCCCACAACTTTTTCTAGGATCTAGTGAATTCAGGTCATACTTTTGTTGGGGGATTAACCTTTTTAGTGAGAAGGTGAATGGGGAGGCAACAGAACAAGAAAGGAGCTTTTTAATAGACAAAAGTAGCTTGTCTTTCCTGTCATTGGAGAAAAGCCAAAGTCAAACACTGCATCTAGGAACTCCAAAAGCCATTCAGACTAGTATAACGAGGACTCTGGTTCAGGGTTACTGTCAAAAAGAAAACCCAAGAGATTATAAGCTTGGCGGGATGGGGGAACAGGTGGACCAAGTAAATACTGGCCCCTGCAGAGGCTGAGAACCCAGCTCCCACATTTACATAAATTGATTAATCAAGTATTTATGTAACAAACCATCAAAAGTAAGTGATGAGAAGGTCCACTTATCACTGGCACGGAGCTTGGGCAGGCTGACTGGCATTGGTGCTTCTGCACATAGATGAAGGATGGGTAAGAAATGACATTTGAACAACACTGAGTAACATTTATCATTTTGCAAAGAATGGCTGTGCATAAAGATGACAGAAACAATCTTCTGAATCACAGTGGCCCCATCATCATGCAAACACGTATTTCTAAGAGGTCTCGAAATCCTTAAGTGCCACTGTGGGTTATGCTGTATTTTCTTGCCATCATGTTTATGTACAGTCCCCTTATCAAGTCTATATTCGGACAAAAAGATAAAATATGGAGCCCGGTATTTATCACTGGGAGAAGCAAATGCCAGTTATAGTGTGTCTGGCAGGTTTGAAGAAATATCCATAGAAGATTCATCCCAAAGAGATTTCCTAGGCTGACATGATTCTGTCTGAAACAAGTGCAGCCTTTCAGAAGAGCCAACGGCATATTATCCTGGTCCCCAGAACTGGTGGAAGCAGGAGGGAGTTCAGCATGTTTATTTGTTTCTCTGTGTATGTTAAGGTTCCTCATCGTGCTGACCTGCCTGATCCTCAGCGTGCTGTCCACCATCGACCAGTTCAGCATTAGGGGTGGCACGGTTCACAAAACCCACGGTTCGGTTTGTATCACGGTTTTAGGGTCACGGTTTTCGGTTCTGTACGGTTCTTGTTATTTTTTCTTTTAATCTTTAACACTCCAGAAATGTACTTCAGCATATGATATATAGCTTAATTATCCACAATTTAGGATACTGTGGCGAGAGGAAAAAGGCAGGAGGCAGATGTTTAGTCCGTGAAAGGGACGATGCACTTTTTATTAACCACAAA